CGCAATATATGCTTAATCCTATTCCAATGTCTCTGTGTAGGAGAAGAGTTATATCTTGCTAGTAAATTAACAGAAAATGCTATGTCAGGCCTTGTAACATTAACAAGATACATAAGTGCATCAATTGTACTGAGATAGAGTATTTCAGGACCAAGAAGTTCATCATCCTCTTTTGGAGGTCAGAACAGATCCTTATTCACTTCAAGTGATCGAACACCCGATTGGTGTACTTAATGGGTGCGCTTTGTCCATGTAAAAACGTTTTAAGACCTTTTCTGTATAGACAGATTGATGGATAAAGATCTCGTCTGCTAAATATTCAATTTGCAGACTAAGACAAAGTTTTTTCCTTTGGAGCTCTTCTGGAGTTCCTATGATATTTATGCCATTAACATAAACAACAAGTATAACAAACTATGATGTTGTTTTTTTTTGTAAAAATGCATGAACAAATGCCTTCATTTGCATAACCTTCATTCATCAATTTAGTGAGTCGATTATATCACATGCGGCCAGATTGATTTAAACGGTACAAAGATCTTTGTACTCTGATTGAATATATTTCACGATGCTTTGAACTATATGCTTCAGGCATTTTAAATCCTTCAGGAATCTTCATATAGACTTAATCAAATGAGTCATATAAGTTATGCCTTGCATTTAGATGGCATGACATCTTCAGGTGTCTGGACTACAGGTCCGATCCTCACAATCTTTTATAATATTGTGCACTATATTGTATCAAATATATCGTCAACGATCATTTCATATCGGTTCGCAAGCGACATAAATTGTTGAAATCTCATCATTTTCTTTATTTTCAGGTACCTGAACTTCTTCCGGAGTTTCATGAAATGTTATGTCGTGGGCTCTTCCAGAGCTTATTTCCTCCTTATTATGATCATTTGCTCCTATTCTTTTCAAGGATTGTTACCTTTGGAACCAATTGGTCTACCACGCTTCATGCGTACAGTAAACTCTATCCTTCAGGGACTTAATTTTAATAGAAGCATTTGCAGCTGAAATATGATATTTAATTTTAGATCAGCAAATGCTTCTGGCATTTGACTTAAATTATCTTCTAAGCGAGGATCATATTAATGATAATTCGATTCATATAGTATATTTTCCAATTGTTTTATTCCATCCCCCAAATGTTAGAAAAACTAACATATATCCCAAATCTTTTTTGGAAAACATATCTTTGTGCATTGTGGTAGATAAATTAATCATATACCACACATTAAAAGTTATTAGATAGTAAAAATATTTGGTTTCTGATCCTAAACCAATTGTGAGGGGATGACTTATCATATTTTGTTGGTCTGATGCATACAAGTGCTGTTGTATGCAATTTAAAAAATCTTAGACCAACACATGAGGCTTTGTTCTCATAAGCAATGGTTTAGCCATTAATAGGAGGTACTCAATGCTAAACTAGCTTGGATATAAACCAGCATCATCAAGATGAATTATCTTGATTTCATAATCTGAAAATTATGCTCTTAATTGAGAAAGACAATTTCAAATGTCAAACTGCAGGTTGACAATAAACATACATGTAACCATCTTATATATGCATCTATAAGTAGTTCACATGATAGGTGAATGGACTCATATTCATCTTTTATATATTTCAGAATTCGGGAATTTTAGTCCCAACTTTAGTTGGTATAATCAAGTTATTATGAGAACAAGCAACACAAGAGAATTTTTGAAGAATCTTCTAGTTCTTCAGTATATGCTTATCTGAATTCTCAAATAGCTCATTTAAAAATGGCAAATGAAAACTTCAAGTTTATCATGGCATGTGCTATCTCTAAGTAAACTTCTGGTTTACTATGGCATAAACTTTTGCATCAGTAAACTTCTGATTTACTGTGGCTACTTTTGTATCAGTAAATTTTTGATTTACTGTGGCTGCTTTTGCATTAGTAAACTTCTGGTATATTGTGATACATGATGTAGTACAAATTTGAAGAATAAGGCGGGTAACTTCTCACATACATATTTACCCCATATGATTGTGGAAACGTGAAGATTTTCAATCTTTCAATCATTTGTAGTCTCAATATGATAGTCATTTGTATCAGTAAACTTCGAGTTTACTACATCATATGTTTTGACCATAATCATATAATAAGAATGTCATATTTGTATATAAGCTCTCTGAGAGCCTTCGTTTATTATCCACAATCTAATATTTATCGGACACTACTGGTGTCATGTGTCTTCTAGACAAACATCTAGCTCTTCAAGAGTTGTTAATACATTTTGTACTATCAAATATTGTTCAGACACTTCTGGTATCATGAGAGAAAATCATAATCAAATAAATAATATAAAAACAATTCTAAATTTATAAATGTAAGAAATCAAGAATTTCAATATTTTTACCACCAACTTTGTGTTTCCTTCAGGGAGAAACACCATTAACATATGAATATTTTATATCAAAGCGGCAACTACATAGTCATTACATCCTTCAAGAAAATATACATGAGTTGTTATTTTCTTCGGGGTAGTTAATAACAAGTAACCATAATATATCAATGTGGTTGAGTAGAAAGCATTCTACAAGAATGATTTTGCCTTAGAATGATACTTAATAAAATTATCCAAGATGTTTTTATGTACAACAGGTATGCGCGACAATGATCTTTATGCCACAAAAATAATATTTATTTCATCTATTATTCTAGCTCTTCCGGAGGTGAGTTATGGTATTTCTTCATTCACTACAGAGAACAAAAATGTGCTTCAAAAATAACTTTGAATAGCTCATTATTTTATTACGCACAGAAAGACACCGTTTCATAATATTTTCCTGCTTCGGGAGAAAATTTCAATTGCGTTACTTCTTCAGGAGCAAATTGAAATACGAAAAATTGAGTATATATTCTCTCAATCATATTACCTCTTCTGAAGGTGAATTGTAATATATTTACATCAAGAGCACGTTCATATTTACGACTTTATTAATATTATCACATTCACTTCAGGGAATGGATTAATATTTATCAGAAATTCTCATCCTTCAGAAAATCGAATATAATTATATGAACGCGCATTAATCACATCAACTGTGATGCTTCAATCTCTTTTAAAATATTTACTACTTCAGGAGCAAATCGATGTGTGCATGTAATATAGAGAATATTTCTCTAGCTTATCTTTAATTGTAACCATAGAAAGCCTAAATTATCACTTCTGGTGGTCATAGGCATATACCACTTCTGGTGGTTAACAAAATTTAGTTACAATGAGATATACGAAACATAACCACTTCTGGTGGTTGTATATTTCTTGCAAACTCTGCTGGAGTTTAAGTGGATCTAACAATGTTATCCACTTTGTAATCCTTTATTAAGATAATTAGGATGAAAACAAATACCAAAATAGGTACTATATACGTAACATATAACCAAGCAAGCGATGATAATGATATTAAAATATAAGCAAAAGGCTCAAATTAAATTATGCAAATTTGGCCACACCAGATGTAAGTGATATCTATATCACTACTGCCAAGAAGAAAAACTCACCACCTCAAGGATATAATCTGCCTTATGATGCTCGTTATGAACAAGATCTAACCACGGACATAAGAGTGTCGCCTTACATCGGAGACGAACACTGAAATAGAAATTAAATTCGAAGAAAGTGCTCAAAATGGCAGAGTCTCGTGCTGATAACGTGTTATAAAATAAATACTATAAAGTAGATAAACTGAAGACAAGTATAGAGAGAAACTGATATATTATTCAACTTCAAATTCATGTACATAATGAACTGAAAACTCATTTATTTATAAAAGAAATGAAGCAGCTGCGAGGCTTTTCAGAAAGCAGCTGCAAGGCTTTTCTTTAGCTGCTTGTAAGCTGTCTGCATGAGTTGCTTGCAACCTGCCTGTTTAATAAGAAGCTGCTGCAAATCATTTCATTGAGCTGCTTGCAACCTGCCTGCATCAGCTGCTTGTAGATAAAGTTCAACAGAGTACTAAATGGATAATCTTCTTCAGGAAGATTATCTATAGCGGAGTAATAAATTAACATCCACAATATAATTATTTCCATAACACTTATCATAATTTATAATTTTGATAGTTGAGTAAATTTTTATTTTTGAAAATGTGAAAGTCATTTATAGTTCCATTATACACTATTTCATAACGTCGTTTCTTTCTTTGAAACATCCCAAAATAAAAGGAGTATCCCAAATTAATTTGACGAAGGATCGCGAGAATACCATTTTCTTTCGAGAAGGTTTCCCATTAGCTCTTTTAAATACTTTTGTATGTTGCGGGCAAATGTTTGGTTTTATTGGGTTTGTCTTTGTTCTTTTTGAGTGGTGGTATATCAGCGATTAAGCTACGATTTTTATGCACATGCTGAAGTGAATATGTTTAATTCTTTTATCAACTAATTTCTTATCTGTTTTCTTCTTTTAGTTGATGTATTCCCTCCGGTCCATTCCCGAGCCGAGGGTTTATTGGAAACAACATCTCTATCCTTACAAGTTAAGGGTAAAGTCTGCATACACTACACACTACCCTCATTTTCTGTTTTTGGGTGCACATAAGTTTATTCTCATTTTGTGCAATTATTTTATGCTGATACTTTCTTCTTTTTTACTGCAAACAAGTTTTTCGACATAGAGTTTCGAGACAGACTTTGATCATCTGTGATGCTAATCTTTATTTTCTGTTCAGCTCCTCCTTAAAAACTCTTTCACGTAAAATAGTTGAAGAGGAGAAATATTAAAGTATTCAGACTATGCAATTGATGCTTCACAAACAATTTGCGTTCTTGGAATCAACAGCCACAACAAATAGTTGCAATCAATAAATTACAGCAACAGACAGCGGATCATGTGCTCCCCTGAACCAATTACATTAATACTAATAAACAATAAAACCATTCAACAACACCCCCCCACCCCCACTCCCCACCCCGGGGCCCAAATATGAAAATATCACACTTCTCTTTGTTCCAGAATGAAGCAATAGTAAACACCAGCTACACAGGCATGTTAAAGCCGAGATCCGAGATAAGATGAGATTGATCATTTTCTGACATATATACCACAATTAATCTAATATTTGTCTTGTCTTATCAGAAAAATTGAATAGTCCTCTCTTATATCAAGCACACAGTGCAGGCCAAGCTGGCAGAAATCAATCACAATATTACATCTGAAGCAGTCTTTCGTATACACGTAGTTTTAGCAGCAAAGGCAGGCTCAGCTATAATATTCACACACATCATATTAAGCAACATTCAGCCAGTTACAGATGTCTTTGCAGCAAGGTGTGTGAGTGCACGTTTGTGGTAACTGTATCGCAGTTTTTTGTACTTCTGCACAAATGTTGTAAGATCAATTTCCCCATCAAGAAACTGTCTGTGTAGACTTTCAGATTCCTCGTCAGTCTTATTCATGGCATCTGTATCAAGAGTAACATCAGTTAGAAAATCCATCGCCAAGTCACCTATTTTACACCCACCATTGAAAACCATAGTGCAACTTTCAAATTGGTCTCTCAAGAATGGTTGATTGCTATAAGCAATGTAAGTTCCTAAGCTCCTATCAGCCAGCTTTATTGCATATCAGATTATAAACTTCCAAGGTTAGAAAAAAGAAAATACTAGACACCTCAAATGGGAAAAATGTTTGTTGGTCTATACAGGTCACCATTGAATTTGTGAACCCCCAGCCCTTGTCCCCAAAACTAGCACAACCAAAATGAACATAAGCATCTGAAAAGAAATTAGGCGGACACAACTATGGTAAAAATTTAAATTGCAGAAAAAATTAGTCTCATTCCATAGAACTTATAACACTATGGCATGTTCCATTGCCAAATTAAGAACCAAAAAGTCCTATGAAAGCATTTAAAATATCATTATTATAGTAAAAGGAAGGTCGTATCAAACACCAAATCTATTCCAGGTGATGACAGCTAACGGATGAAAATAACTTGTTGACAATTCTTGATTCATGTTAACCTCGCTAATAGCTTCAATCACAACCAATAACGCAAAGACTTGGGTTCGTCAAGTCTTGTTGAAGAATGAATAATTGAGATTCAAGCACCAGCTCCTTAAGATCGCTTTTGTATGGAGAAAAGGGTTTTATTGGAATGTCGTAAATACTTGATTAAGAAGTAAACAACAACAACAACAACAACCCAGTGTAATCCCACTAGTGGGGTCTGGGGAGGGTAGTGTGTACGCAGACCTTACCCCTACCCTGGAGTAGAGAGGCTGTTTCTGATAGACCCTCGGCTCCCTCCCTCCAAGAACTCCCCACCTTGCTCTTGGGATGATTCGAACTCACAACCTCTTGGTTGGAAGTGGAGGGTGCTTACCACCGGAGCAACCCTGATTGAGAGAATTGAATAAATTACAAACAGTTAAATAAGAATGTGTATACTAGTTAAGGTAGAACAAGGTAACACCATTCGAGAAAGTAATATAAAAGAGCTAGAGTGTAAACGCTATAGTATGGAGTCACCTAAACATCTAAGGCTACGGCTATGTCTATACCAAGGGTCTGGAGGACTGTGGGGGACAGTTTTGGTAGCAAGTTATAATGCATTGTGACATATAAAAGGCAAGTCTGTGTTATGGTAGATTTTAGACAAAGGCAAATAAATGACACTTAGTGAATGCGCTACTGACACTTGACTGTTCCCAGGAGCTTTAGCAGAAATCATTTAAGCAATTTGACAGAACAGTAAAGTGTAAACTACAGAACATTAGAAATTTAGAACTGTCATGCAGCAGCACCTGTTGGGTCAAGAAAGTTCCCAATGCATCACTCCTTACAATATATATATTCTTCTTTAATATTTCTTTTTGTTTTTCATAACCGCGGTCTCCGAGCCAACTTGCGCACCCTCGACTAATTCCGAAGGGTACCTACTAGCTCCCACCAACACAAGCACAAACACCGGGTAACTCTGTCCACCAAAATTTGAAAAAATAGAATGAAATCACCTAGTGTTTTTGCCTCCGCCGCTGAGATTTGAACCAGAGACCTCATGGTTCTGAACCCACTTCATTGGCCACCATGACACACACTTGGGTGCTACTATTTCTATATTTAAAAATGATCCTTTCTTAAAAATCCAAATATGATGCAGACTGAACTCCTAAGAGGCCCTTCACTTTGTTGAAATTGCAGCATTAAAACCATAGTTCCCCAAAATCAAAGATCTAAACTTGTTCTACTGATGTGTAAGTAACTACTTATAGTTTGCTCCAGTTGTGTTCTCCGTACAAAAGGAAACTCCACCACCACCACCCCCAAACCCCCGGGGCCCCTCCCCACCAAAAAAATATGCATTTCCAGTTTTTACCTTGTAACAGATGGAGGAGTGATGCAGGAGAGTATAATTTCAAAAGCTCTTCTTTTCTCCTTTCCAGTTCATGCAGCTTTTCTTGAGCAGCAGCCAATTCAGTGGTGCGGATGATTCTGCACTGTAATCAGCAAAATAGGAAGGACACATAAAATCTTTCACAATCAATGCTTTGATGCTAAAAGGTCAAACTAGTCATTTAAAAAGTGTAAGTGAAAGTAACAGGGAGAAGTAATAAAAAGATTAAGTAATATCTCACCTGATTCCTAAGCTCCATTATCCGCGGTTCTTTCTCTAAATTCTCCCCTGCATAAAAAGTGAATTCAAAATCTATCTGGTTTACTGGATAGAAACATCTCAGCTACTAAGAAGTGACCCAAACTTACTAGCAAGCTGCAGAGTTTCATTCCGAAGCTCATCCCTGATCTGATTAGATAATTTATGGGAAAAAGGGTCAAATCCAATTGGAGAAATGAAGTAAAAAGAGATACTACCAGTTACAGCAAAATCTATATCAAGATGACTATTATTTGTAACAATTTTTGTCTCATATGTGTTAAGCGGGCAGGAGGACAAGAGGATCTGTGGCTCATCGTGGCAAGAAAAGGAAGAAAGAACAAGAAATGCTTATTGACCATCCCAGTTTGCAAGTATTTTAGGATATTAAATTGCATGAGTGAGAAATTAGAGAAAACAAATAAAGCACAGTAGACACAACTTCTACAGTAACTCTCAACCAGATTGTAAAATACTAGAACAACTCCAACGCATTGCGTCATCTTAAATTAAAAAATATACCATTTATGGAAAAACCCCATACAAAAGTAGAACAACTAAATTCATATCATTTCCTATACTTGTCCCATAGATAACTTGAATACCCGCTGTCTGAAACCATTTTTCATTCAACCAGGTACATCGGATATTTTGTGGAGCACGAAAGAACAGATCAGATCAATCATGCATAACACGAACAATCCTCAACAAAGAAAACTTAACCTCTTACCTTATTCTGAGTTTTGACAGGCTCAAGTGAAAGTAAGAAGTTCTGATAAGCATCGTCGCCAGATAGAAGCTTCCTTAGCTCATCAACACTGAAATTTTTAGCAAGACGGCAGATCAAGAATCAAACACTAAAAGTAGAAAGCAGAATGAAGGAAGACATCTAACACTTCACTTAATTGTTTAATCACTACAAACAAGATATCTCTTCTTATCAATCCCAACTCCCCAGCATGAAAACGAAGAACTTCAGTCATGAATATTTTCTAAGACAGGATTATCTGCTGGCAAAAGAAATTTTGCACAAGTCAAAGTAAAATCTTACCGTTTATCTTGTGTCATTGTTAAAATATGAGCATTTGGTAACTTAAAGGGTGGCATAAAACATTCAATCAATAATTCACAGAAACTAATGGCAAAAAAGAAACTATATATGCCTACCAAGATGCATAGCGAGATCCTTCTCAGTCTGAAGCAAACCTAAGGACAACTTCTACCAGAAAACATGTATGGCATTTGGACTAGAAAACTGTTCCATTTTGAATTAGCATACATACTTAGCAAGATGCATAGACGGGCGTTTCTCCCCTATCAGGCAAGCCTGAGAATCAACTCGTATGTTCCATCTTCTTGTTTTGTTTTCAAATCGTTTTCTTAAAACCAGAATATCTGGAAATCAACTCCAATTTTTTCTAGAAAACCCACCTTATTAGTATCGATTGTCCATAATGTAATAAAGCAGTTTTTAATAACGTCTAAAGGTTCTACAATCAAATAAAAGGAACCTGTACCATTACAGCAGATATAACCATATGCGCTCCAGTTCATCACAAACACTTGAATTTCATAAGACTCCGTAAGATAACAGGCCAAAATTCTTTTACAAAAGAATAATATTAAAAGTCTCTGTTCCAAGTGCACGATGGTAGAACTAGTGCTTCAAGATTTATCAGGAGTTTACCGAATTATTTATTGGGATTAGAGAGCTATATAATTATAATTTTGAGCTGGTTACATGACCGTTCTAGTTCCTAGTCATGAAAATTTCATGAGTATCAAAAGCTTCGTTACAGAGAACAGTGTGCATACTTCTTTATACTGGATACCATACCTCTTATCCTTTAAAGCATTAATAATGCATGCAGCCTCTGCAGGGGAAACGTGTGATGCTGAGCTTGGCCTATCTGTTGGTCTTTGGGCACCAAAGCTTCCTGAAGAGCTTGGACTAGGAGTTGCGGGACGGGAAGACCCGGGAGAGCTGCTTGCAGATGGTGCATACCATGGATTATTATTACCCTCCTGTGGACGTTGCTGAGCTTGTTGCCCTTGAGAACCCCTGCAGGAAATTAACAAAAGGTACATATGTTAAATATAACAAGCTGATTTCATGCATCCTACTTACTGAGAGCATACCATGCCTATATGCAAGTCAATACAAGCTACTAAAATCTTATGGTAAAAAAGACATACAAAATGGAATTACACTTGTTAGTTGGTGCTACATGTGTAAAAGCTAAGGGGAAGAAGTTGATCATCTTCTACTGCATTGCCCTGTGTCCTGGGGTTTGTGGAGGGCAATCCTGAATCTTTTTGGTGTTCAATGGGTGATGCCAAACACTGTAAAGGAAATGCTATATAGCTGGGCCGGTTTCCACAGAAGAAGCAAGCAAAAGGCGTGGAAGTTCGCCCCGTTAGCTCTCATGTGGATAGTCTGGGGAGAGAGAAATAGGAGAGTTCTTTAGGGGATTGAGTCTCCTTTTTCACATCTTAAGAATAGTCTTTTATCTTTGATCGCTTTTTGGTGCACACATATAGCCCCTACTTGTGTAGAAGATTGGGCGTCTTTTGTAGAGAATCATGTTCTGATGTAAATTCTCTACTTCTTAGTATACTTCTTGTATGCGGGAGTTTTTTTTCCCTTTTGATTAATACAATTTACCTTATAAAAAAAAGACATACAAAATTACATGCAAAAACTTTTCTGTTTTCTGAATGCTTAAGTGACTCAGGATGGAACAGGAAAATGAATACAAGACACCACTAGCATTGTCTTACTAAATGCTCCGTTAGAAGGAGATAAAGGAGAAAATTGGAGTTCATCTGACTATACAATAGTCATCACTACCTTATGATCCTATTAACCATAGAAGTATAAGCTGCTATCTTAAAACGGAGGGACATCCAAGATTTAAACTTTATAGGTTCAGGATGCCACTGAACCCACTGAACATTGAAGTTACTACAGCAACAACAACAACAACAAACCAGTATATTACCACATGTGGGGTCCGTGGAGGGTAGTGTGTACACAGACCTTACCTCTACCTAGTGAAGGTAGAGAGATTGTGTTATGATCTGAGCAATGAAGAGCTAATTGCACAGTTGCGGGAAGTAGTACTTTTAGCTTAAAGAGTAGTAAGGAATAAAAGTAGTTAAGTTTGTTGTTAAGTTCTGAGAATTACAGTTAGTATTACATTTCAGTCTATTAGTTATTTTATTTTTACACTTTAGCCCAATTCTTCTTCACGCGTGAGAAGGGAGTATTTGTATTCGTTCAGGGTCATTTGGCCATTTTTATCGAAGAAAGTCAGTTTCTAGTTAATTTCTTCTTTTCTTAGTTTAAGTAGCAGATGACACAGAGGTAGAGCAAGTTGATGAACCAGTAGAGATTCAACGAGTATTACAGGAGTTTGAGGAAGTGTTCCAAGAACCCAAAGACTTGCCTCCTCTCATGGAACAATTTGATCATCATATTCCCTTAAAAGAGGGAGCCAATCCAATCAACAGCAGGCCTTACAGGTACTCACATGTGCAGAAAAATATTATTGAAGAGATGGTGCGGGAGTTACAATCTCAGGGGTTGATACAGAATAGTTGCAGCCCATTTGCTTCTCCAGTGGTGTTGGTAAGCAAGAAGGATGGAAGTTGGAGGTTTTGTGTGGATTACAGGGCTCTCAATCAAATTACCATCAAGGATAAATACCCCATTCCCATCATTGAGGAGCTATTGGATGAACTAGGGGATCACAGATTTACTCCGAGATAGACCTGAGATCAGGGTACCGTCAGATTAGGATGGCACCCAATGACATTCACAAAACTGCATTCCGGACTCATTCAGGCCACTATGAGTACTTGGTTATGCCTTTTGGCTTAACTAATGCACCTTCAAGTTTTCAAGGACTTATGAACCATGTCTTCAGAGAACACTTAAGAAAGTTTATCTTGGTATTCTTTGACGATATACTCATATTCAGTATAAGTATGGTGGAACACATTGGACATTTGAGAATCACTTTCCAGTTGCTGATACAGCATCACCTTTATGCCAGGAGATCTAAGTGCCAGTTTGTTATATCCAGTGTAGAGTACTTGGGCCACTTCATTTCTGCTAAGGGAGTTTCAACTGATCCAAAAAAGATACAAGTTGTACAATAATGACCCTTGCCTAAAACCATCAAGCAACTGAGGGGTTTTTTAGGCTTAGCAGTCTATTACAGAAGGTTCATCAGGAGTTATGGTCAAATTAGCAAACCTCTAACTGATTTGTTGAAGAAGGATTGCTTCAAATGGACTGAACATGCATCTACTGCCTTTCAAGCATTGAAAAATGCCTTGACCTATGCTCCAGTGTTAGCACTCTCTGATTTCAATCTTTCCTTCACAGTAGAGACAGATGCATGTGATATGGGAATTGGGGTTGTGATCATGCAAAAAGGACAACTTATTGCTTACCTGAGCAAAGGATTGTCTCCTCAACACCAAACTATGTCTGTTTATGATAAAGAACCGCTGGCTTTGGTAATGGCTGTGACTAGGTGGGGGCAGTATTTGGTGGGCAGGCATTTTGTGGTCAAGACTGATCAAAATGCCTTAAAGTTTCTTTTAGAACAGAAACTGCACACAGGAGCACAACTTAAATGGGTAACCAAGTTGATGCAATTCGATTTTGATATTGAATACAAGAAGGAGAAGGAAAACAAGGTTGTTGATGCCTTGCCTAGGATTCCAGCAGTGGAACTAGCTGCTCTTACATTGTCTACGGTTAGAACTGATCTTTTCTAAGCCATACAAGATAGTTGGAAGTTTTGACCCTGAGTTGGTGGAAATACTTCAACAGTTGCAGGACTTAAATGGAGAAATCAAAGGCTACTCATTTGTCAATCAACAACTGAGGAAAAATGGCAAGTTGGTGATTGGGGCTGACACTTCTTTAAGAAGGGAAATTCTTCACTTATGGCATGATTCTGTGAGAGGAGGTCATTCTGGAATTGACCACACCTTCAAGCAGTGTTGTAAATAGCGAGCGCTACGTCGCTAATAGCGTGTAGCGAAGCGGCGCGAGGCAGTAGCACTATTTTGGTCTGTTGCGGTGCGATTCTGAAAAAGCGTACGCCTCTGCCTCTGTAGCGAGAGGCGCTGCGAGGCGAGAGGCGTAGCGTAGCGACGCTATTTTGGAAACAGAGCTGGAGATGAGCGCTAGCCAGAACGAAATGGACATGGTTTGAGGTCGCAAAGTTTATCGATTCTGGAAATCTTACCCAGCCCGTCCCCCATGCCATTAGTGAAACGCCTTTATGTGAATTAACTATTCCGGCAAAAAGACGCTATTTGGAGAAAAAGAAGAAAAAGGCAGCGACAGTGTAAAATACAAATATTAGGGCATGGGTTTTAACTTCTTCTCCTTCAGCGAATACAACTAAGCAACTTCAAAAATTAGGGCTTGGGATTCATCTTCTCCATAATCAAACATCAGCACAGTAAACCAGGTATGTTACTTTCTTCTTCGACTTCGACTTCGACAGTCGACACTTGGATTCGACCATTGCTGTCATCTTCTTTTTTCTTTTTCTTTTTCTTCTTCTTTCTTCTTTCTTCAGTTCAGCGATCTCCTTCTTCTTCTTCTTCTTCTCTTCTTCTTCTTCTTCTTCGACTTCGACAGTCGACACTTCGATTTTTCTGTTTCTTTTTCTTCTTCTTTCTTCTTTCTTCAGTTCAGCGATCAACTCCTCCTCCTTTCTTTCTTCCTTCTTCTTCTTCTTCTTCTTCTTGTCTTATTTTTGGTGCTCTGTTTTTCGAGCAGAGGCAGAGCAGAGCAGGGGCTCTTTCTTTCTTTCTTCCCTTCCTCTTTCTTCTTCTCTTAATTTTTTTTTGGGTTTGTTTTTCGACAGCAGAGGCAGTACCGCAGTAGCAGTAGTCTCTTTTTAGGCTCTGTTTTTTTTTTTGCTATGTTTTTTCAATTATAAACTTATAGTCTTATAGAGTAGAATTAATTGCATACTGACGTGATAATTGTTTTTCTATAAAACAGCATTGAAATGGCGTCATCCGATAGTAATAAACGAAATGATATAGCTT